AAAGTTTCCTGTAAGGGGTAGGTTTAGGTGTAGGGTTGGTGTAGGGCAATAGAATATACAGTCTGTACAGTAGAAAAACCATTACGCCTATGGAGAGTCCCCACAAGGATAGCTGACCAGACATGTGTGTGTGAGTGAGTGAGTGAGTGTGTGTTTGTGTGGGTGTGTGTGTGTGTGAGTGTGTGTGTGTGTGTGTGTTTGTACCTACTTAACCATATTTTGGGGACAAATTTATACCCACAACTGAGCAAAACCTGACAAAATCACCAAAAAACTCAATTTGGGGACGTCCTCATTTGTAAAACTGGTATAAAAAATAAAGTAAACAAAGTTCTCCTTCTTGGGAACTCAATGCTGCGCCCCCTAGGGGGCACATTGGGGAATGTAGCCTCCATGACCGGTGTCTGAAGCACGTGTGAAACAACGCCAATCTATTGGCCCACCTGGCCAATGATGTCATAGGCGGGATGCCCGGAAGTATAAAAGGGCACCTGCTGAATACGTTGTCCTCTTTGCTGTCTTCAGGAGCCGTCTGTTTGAAGTGCATGTGAGAGACCAAGGCAGGTGAGCGGTGTGGAAGTGTGTGCCTCCGTTCCAGAGATTTCTGGCACTTGAGGACGCGCACGATCTATCTGTCATCTGTTTTGGTCAGGAGCTCATTGTGAGTGTTATCCAATGAGAAGCTCCATTCGCGTTTGTCCCTCTTCTCGAGAGATGAGTGACAAGCGTTTGCGTCTCGCGGTTCGGGTCCCGCTGTTGCCAAGGCACGACGAAGACTCGGATCGCGGGATTTGCGGGGTTGAGATGCCCTTTTTGGGTTATCGGATCTAGTGGATAGCGCTCGAGTCGAGCAACACCTTAGGGAATGTGTGCCTCCATGTTTGGATTCTAACACTCGAGGGCATGTTCTGCTTTCGCGTTTGTCTCGGCGAAGAGCACGCGCATTCAGAGTTACGCGCTCATTGTGATGAGTCACGATGTCTAAGCTCCGCTCGTGTTTGTTCCTATTCCCGAGGGATACGGAACAGAGCGCTTGTGTCTTGCGGCCCGGTTCCGCCGTTGCCGCGGCACAGTTATCTCAACTCGCGGTCATCGCTTTGATCTGCGGCATCCGCACACCCGCTCTATACAGATGTCAGATGCCACGGATATTGTTGGGTTGTTATGACGATGAAGTGTGAGCACAGAGTCGTTTCAGCCCTGATCCTGCGAGATCGTGTGCAGAGCTATGTTCAGTTCGGCAGTGCCTCTCTAATATGCATGTTAATGTGTGTGGAGAGCCTCACTGGGTGTGAATATATTTAAATATCCTGTGGAGAGAGGTTTGCAAGTTTTTTCTCCCAGGGTTTTCAGCACCTAGAGTGGTTATGGGGAATATATTTTTGCTCTGGAATATGGCGGTCTGAGGGCAGCTATATTCTAGCCTAGATTTTAATAACTAGGTTGGGTTCCCCTTGGCACAAGTTCTCGAGTAAGTGCTGAAGTCTTTGTTAAGGAATCTGCTATTCGAGGATAGCTGTGTTTCAGCGCGGAGACCGCTTCCCTTTTAGGGCTTTTAGATGGTGGTCTCTGTGAGCCCCTTGCCTGGACTGTGATGTCTCCCCTTTAGGGTTTTAAATAGATGACCCACTCCCGTGGCCTGGGCAATCTTCAGCCTTATCTGAGAGAACTGCTATTCGAGGACAGCTCTGTCCAGCCCTCTAGTGCTATGGCTACCGCTTACATCAGGCTTGATCTCGGACTATGATGTTTGTGTTTGCTCTTTAGCGAATCATTTACTGATGGTCTGGATCTCCCTCTTGTGAGATCTTGGTCAATAGCACGGTGCTTTGCTAGCCTACTGTGGGACTGGCACGGATTGGGGACCTCCTTAATATAGCTTTCTGAGGGTGGTTATATTCCAGCCAATGTTTTTGGCAGGACTTATTTGAATACAGCTATCTGTGGCTAGCTGTGTTCTACTGCAATTGCGATGAGCCCTCTCATGGAGTGGGCCCTTATTTCCTAGAGCCTCATTATCTGAGGATAGTTATGTGCTAGCTCAGTGATCGCTCCCCTGCTTAGGGTTTTAAGTAGCGGTCTCTTGAGCCCTTACCTAGACAGTGCTGTCTCCCCTCTTTGGGTTGTAAGTAGACAGCCCACATTTTGTGGTCTGGGCAGTTTCAGTCGGTCCCCCTTCTGGTAGCCCTTCCAAGGTACATAGCTTTCTGAGGATATCTATGTGCTAGCTCAGTGACTGCTCCCCTTCTTAGAGTCTTTAAGTAGCGGTCTCTTTGAGCCCTCGCCTAGACAGTGCTATCTCTCCTGCTAGGGTAGTGAGTAGATAGCCCACTCTCTGTGGTCTGATTGCTCCCCTTCTTAGGGTTTTTAAGTAGCGGTCTCCTTGAGCCCTTACCTAGACAGTGCTGTCGCCCCTGCTAGGGTTGCAAGTAGACAGCCCACTCTTTGTGGTCTGGGTATTTTCAGTCAGTCCCCCTTCTGGTAGCCCTTCCTAGGTGCATAGTTATCTGAGGATATCTGTGTGCTAGCTCAGTGTCTGCTCCCCTTTTTCAGGGTCTTTAAGTAGCGGTCTCTTTGAGCCCTTGCCGAGACAGTGCTATCTCCCCTGCTAGGGTAGTAAGTAGATAGCCCACTCTCTGTGGTCTGGGCAGCTCTGTAGGAAGGCGATCTTGGCCATGTTATTCTGGTCCACAAGCCTTCATAAGACCTTAGGGACATAGCTATCTGAGGGTAGCTGTTTTCTAGCTCAGCAGCTACTCTCTTTACCTGGGATTTAAGTAGCATCTTTTGAGCTCCTCTAGAGGCTTTCTAGTTCACCTCCTCAGTGGTCTTGTGTATCCAGGCTAGTTCTGCTCACATAGCATAGCTATCTGAGGATAGCTGTGCTCTTAACTTGGATGGGATGTTCCCCTTGATCTATTCAGGTTCCCCCGTTTCTGCCAAGTTGTGTGAGCGGCCAGTGGCGTCAGTGGCATGGCCCCTTTCTGAGGAAAGGCTTTGTTTATGTCTGTCGCTTCCTTGGTGCTCTCCCACCAGGTGGACAGGCATGCGCCTCGGCACGGCGTGTTTGGATTTCGTTCCCCAATGTGCCCCCTAGGGCATGGTTGAGTTCCCTTGAAGGGGAACGTCTCGGGTTACGCATGTAACCATGGTTCCTGTTATGACCCATGGCTCAAGGGAAGCAACAAACAGAGGACACACGCGAACCAAATGGTTAGCTTTGAATATAATTTATTCAAAAGCTACAGTCACATAAAAAAAAGTAAAGAACACCATAAAGAAGACAACTATGTATTGGAAACATCAGTAGTGCCAATGTGTAATGCGAAATGTATGGCTGTATGGAGATGTAGTGTACTGCGGTGTTGAGGTGCAAGAGCAAACACAAGCCAAACAAGTCACAAAACCAAATATCCAAAACCGGAGCCCCCCCTCTGGCTCAAGCGGAGGCCTCTTTTAAAGGGAGCGTCTGATAAAGAGCAGGTGTCTCAAACGACGGCCAATCAAGGTAGTCTGTAGACTCCTACAGCCATTCCACAAACAAACGACAGGGGTCGTCACATTCCCGAGAGGGAACGAGATGCTGCGCCCCTTTGCCATGCCTTCGGCCTGCCTGTCTACATCTCCTTCAGACAGCGAAGAGGATGACGTATTCAGCAGGTGCCCTTTTATACTTCCGGGCATCCCGCCTATGACGTCATGGGCCAGGTGGGCCAATAGATTGGCGTTGTTTCACACGTGCTTCAGACACCAGTCATGTAGGCTGCATTCCCCAATGTGCCCCCTAGGGGGCGCAGCGTCTCGTTCCCTCTCGGGGAACCATGGTTACATGCGTAACCTGAGACGTTTTTTTGAAATTGTAAAAATGCAGAAAGGTTTCTGTGAGGGGTAGGGGTGGGTTTAGGTTAAAAAGTGTATAACTATCTGTATATCAAAACAATAGAAGCCTATGTAATGTCCCCATTTAGATAGCTAAGTAAATGTGTGTGTGTGTGTGTGTGTGTGTGTGTTTGCGCAGGGATCTTTCCAACAACAGATTTGGCTGTTTCTCTGCTGATATGTTTCTTGATCTCGGCCGTCTCTCCAAACTGTGAGTCTTTATTGAACACAGGGAGCTGTATGTTCTAGCTGTGTTTTAATGTTACTGGGATAGGTTTGTGCATAACGTCTGTGTGTCTTTCAGGAATTTGTCTGGGAATATCTTTTCCACGCTGCCGGAGGGTTTGTTCACACATGCCCCGTCTCTCAGAGCGCTGTAAGATTTCTGCACTGATTTCTACTGTTTAAATGGGTGGTTATGAATGTTACACTTTTTGTCTGAGCGTCAGTAACTCAGTGGTTGTTTGTGCTAGATCTCAAACTTTGATAAACGGTGGCCACATTTGTCCTCTACAAATAAAATTCACTTGGACGCGTGCTACACAATCACAGATTATGTGAGTTAATGTCAAATACCAAGAGATCCGTTGTTACAACCTACACCACTTTAATAAAGCTAAAATTTTATATTTTATGTTTTCACTTTAATTTTAGTTAGTTTTAGAAAATGATGATTTTATTAATTTTTTTTTATTGAATTTTACATTTTACATTTTATGTTTTCACTTTAATTTGAGTTAGTTTTAGAAATGTTGATGATTTTATTAATATTTTTTTAATTGGATTTTATATTTTATGTTTTCACTTTAATTTTAGTTAGTTTTAGAAAATTATGATTTTATTAATTTTTTTTTATTGAATTTTACGTTTTACATTTTATGTTTTCACTTTAATTTGAGTTAGTTTTAGAAATGTTGATGATTTGATTAATATTTTTTTAATTGGATTTTATATTTTATTTTTCGCTTTAATTTTAGTTAGTTTTAGAATTGGATGATTTTATTAATATTTTTTTTAATTGGATTTTACATTTTATGTTTTCACTTTAATTTTAGTTAGTTTTAGAAATTTTGATGATTTTATATTTTTTTAATTGGATTTTATATTTTATTTTTCGCTTTAATTTTAGTTAGTTTTAGAAATGTTGACTTTGTTAATATTTTGAATTGGATTTTATATTTTATGTTTTCACTTTAATTTTAGTTAGTTTTAGAAATTGATGATTTTATTTATATTTTTTTTAATTGAATTTTACATTTTATGTTTTCACTTTAATTTTAGATCGTTTTAGAAATTGATGATTTTATTAATATTATTTTAATTGGATTTTATATTTTATTTTTCGCTTTAATTTTAGTTAGTTTTAGAAATGTTGACTTTGTTAATATTTTGAATTGGATTTTATATTTTATGTTTTCACTTTAATTTTAGTTAGTTTTAGAGATTTTGACGGTTTTGTTAATATTTTGAATTGGATTTTATATTTTATGTTTTCACTTTAATTTTAGTTAGTTTTAGAGATTTTGACTGTTTTGTTAATATTTTGAATTGGATTTTATATTTTATGTTTTCACTTTAATTTTAGTTAGTTTTAGAGATTTTGACGGTTTTGTTAATATTTTGAATTGGATTTTATATTTTATGTTTTCATTTTAATTTTAGTTAGTTTTAGAAATTTATGATTTGATTCATATTTTTTAAATTGGATTTTACATTTTATGTTTTCACTTCAATTTTAGTTAGTTTGAGAAATTGACGGTTTTGTTAATATTTTGAATTAGATTTTACATTTTCTGTTTTCACTTTAATTTCAGTTAAAGTTTTACTAATTTTGTTGTTTTTAACTATTAAGTTTGTCAGAATCTGTTGCCTCTAAACCGCAAGTGATTTATTACATATATTTTGTTTAACTTTGTTCATTTGGACAGTTTTTGTTCTCTGTCGGTGCAGTCAAAGTAATGCAGGGGAACTAGATGGATGCTATTATTCATTACCAGCAGTAGAATTAATTAGAATAAAAGTAAAAGTAACTTCCCAAAGCAGCTCTGCAGAATCAGTTCAGATGTTGTCCTCATGCAGTAGCGTCAGTGCGTTAAATGGATGATCGTGGTGTTTTCAGGCACGTGGGCACAGACTATCTGTTCTGTGATTGTCAGCTGCGCTGGTTGTTGTCGTGGATCAGATCTCAGGCGGTGCGTGTGGGGAATGAATCCGTATGCGTGTATCCGGCTCGTCTTCATGGACTGGAGCTGCGCAGTCTTCAGGAGCAGCAGTTCACCTGCGGTAAGACTTCACTGATGTTCACCAGCCCTACAATCACGTCAAAGCATTAAACAGAGAGCTGTTTTGTTACCTTGGGGGATCAACATAAGGAAGGAATTCAGAAAGCATGAATCATGTCCACTGATGATGTTGTATTTGCATGTGTTATTCACTCAGAATCACTGAAGGGAATCAGGTGATGCACAAACACAATTCCATAGTATGCCTCATCTGCATAACAGGAGTTTGCATTGACAAATGGACAAAAATTTAACTCTAAAATCCTGTTCCCAGTTAAAGTGCTGCGAATGCTGCATGCATCTCCTCTGAAGTGAAAATTAATGTTAACAGAACAGCCTTGTTTATGTAGAATGCAAAAAAAAAGATTAATTTTTATCAATTAAATAAAATCATAAAAAATTAAAAACTATAAAGTTTGGTGTTGCAAATGTTGATTTCTTTCGAGTTTTACATTTTTATAATAAAAAATACTATTATTGCACAACCCCCTCTCCCCCCCCCCCATTTTTCTGTAAAAATGTATTTAGTAAGAACAAGTTACGCACACTGATGCCATTATATTCGCATGTGCTGTGTGCATTATTTTAAGGAATTTTTTATTATTATTATTTTGCTGTTGCAACCCTTTATTTTGTCCCACATTTTGCACTATTACAATTAAAAAAAGATGTGTTATTGCACAAACATGCCCACATTTTTGAGTGAGAATATATTCAGTAAGAATGAATTATGCCCACTGATGAATTTTTGTTTGCATGAGTTGTGTGCATTTTTTAGCATGCAATTCAAGGAATTCAGAAAATCCGGTGATGCACAAAAACACCCATGTTTTTCTCGGTTAAAGTGCTGCGAATGCTGCATGCATCTCCTCTGAAGTGAAAATGAATGTTAATAGAACAGCATTGTTTACATAGAATGCAGTTGCATTTGCATTGACGAAAATGTGAAATTTTTGGATCTTTTTGCATGAGCCTTATGCATAGTCATTGTAAAATATATAGCCAACTGCACATTAGCTGTAAATACATGCAAATTTTTCTAGACCCCCCCCCCCCCCCCCATTTTTCTGTAAAAATGTATTTAGTAAAAACAGGTTTCGCACAATAATGACGTCGTATTTGCATGTTCTGTGTGCGTTATTTTAGTGTGCACGCTTACATTTTTCCCGGTTAAAGTGCTGCAAATATGGCATGCATTAATTTACAGCCTTGTTTATATAGAATGCTGAAAGATTATTTTTTATAAATTAAATAAAATATTTTGCTGTTTCAACCCTTTGCACTTTTATCCCACATTTTGCACTATTACAATTAAAAAAATATATATTATTGCACAAACATGCCCACATTTTTGAGTGAGAATATATTCAGTAAGAATGAATTATGCCCACTGATGAATTTTTGTTTGCATGAGTTGTGTGCATTTTTTAGCATGCAATTCAAGGAATTCAGAAAATCCGGTGATGCACAAAAACACCCATGTTTTTCTCGGTTAAAGTGCTGCGAATGCTGCATGCATCTCCTCTGAAGTGAAAATGAATGTTAATAGAACAGCATTGTTTACATAGAATGCAGTTGCATTTGCATTGACGAAAATGTGAAATTTTTGGATCTTTTTGCATGAGCCTTATGCATAGTCATTGTAAAATATATAGCCAACTGCACATTAGCTGTAAATACATGCAAATTTTTCTAGAAAAACACACAGATGTTTTATATTGCTGTAGCTGCTGTTCTGTTCTGTGCTTTACATTCAGTGTAACGGCACTTCTTAAGTGCTCTTAACTAACAGTTCTGTATCTCATGGCCTTATGTGGCTTGCTGCTTGATTTAATGTCAGCAGAAGAACTCATAATGCTATAAAGTGTGTGTGTCATATAGAGGTGAATTGGCAGAGTGTGTTAGTGATTTCTGGCACAGCTGGATCGTCTTTTACAGCATTACAGTGGTTATTCTCACAGCTTTAGCTTCAGTAGCTCACTTATGTTAAAAACACTAGTTTTTCCAGTTTCAAACCACTTTGTTTAACATGTCCGAACGCTTCTGTGCTTGCATGCGAAGCGCAGAGAAGTAGGATTCATTTTAGTGAATCGGTTCGTTCAGATGATTCAGTTCGGTGAACTGCTTTAAAAAAAGATTCGTTGGCATTTTATTAGTTCTATTTAGTGTTTATGTATCTGTTCAAGTGTAATGCCACACATTTATTGTTTCTGTGCCACATAAATACTGCTCTCATCACAACAGTCATGTGTATTATCTAGTACAGCTCTGCACATTTTGTATGTGTCTCTTATTACTTCAGACGTTTGTTCTAATTGACCGTAAGTGCCCTGCGAAGTGGACATCACAGGCTATTCTGCCAGCTCGAAGGGAACTGAGAACCACCGATCTAGTGGTTCTAGTTATTTTTGTAGTTTATTAGATATTTTCCGCTTAAATAGATGAAGTCGGCTACTTTATGTTAGTTAACTACTTTTCCTCAAGTGTTTCCAGAAGCTTTAGTTTAACTGCATATAAATTATGTGTAGATCATAAGCTGGGAAGATACAGATTCTGCAGTCCATTGTTATTTTAGCTTTATTTATGTACTATTATATAATTTATTAAGATTTTGAATCTCAGTAAATCTGTCAAGAACATATCCTCGTCTTATCTGATTATATTAAAGAAAAATATATAAAGAAAATAAAATTAAGCCTATTTTAGGAATATTTCAAAATATTTATTTATT